TTTTTTTTTTTTTTTTTAAATAATTGTTTTCTTGGAATGTCTTCTTCTAAAGGATAATTTCCCAGAACTTTTATGGTAGACAGTTAGCTTATTTATTTAATTAATTTACTTTTTGGTGCTGAGCATTGAACTGAAGGCTTCAACATGTGCTAGGCAAACACTCTACCCCTGAGTCACCTAGCCACATTTCTCATCTAACATAGGAAAGAACAATCCAAAAAGCATTTGCTATGTAGAGTTTAAATGTATATAACTAAGGGTAGAAGCCAATCTTAAAAGCTTACATACTGTATGACTTCAGTTACATTACATTCTGGAAAAGGCACACTAAGGAGACAATGAAAAGGTCAGTGGTTGCCAGGGGTTGGGCAACAGAGGATAAATAGGCACAGCACAGAGTATTTTTAGGGCATTGAAAGCACTTTGTATGATACTATAATAGTAGTTACTTATTATTATACATTTGCCCAAACTCATAGAATGTTTAAACCAAAAGTGAACTTTTATATAAACCATTGATTTTGGGTGATAATGATATGTCAATGCAGGCAGCTCACTTGGAAAAAATGTACCACTCTGGTTGTAGATGTTGATAGTGATGGGCTGGCCTGTGCATGTATGGCAATAAAGGGTTCATGGGAAATCTCTCTGTGCCTTTAGCTCAATTTTTCAGTGAACCTAAAACTGCTTTAAAATATATCATCTATTAAAAATATTTACCACTGCCTCAAACTTTGAAATATATCTTTTGGGCTTACTCTTACTATTTATGTATATTGAATATTTTCCGTTCAAATTTCTTCTGCTAAACATTATGTTGAACTATAACATAATGAAGATATATTATTGAAAAATAACATATTAGAAATACATTTTGGAAAATAGGATACATTAAAATGTTTGTGACTCTTTATAATTTTAAAAATTATAACGTTTAAATATAGGTGACACAGCTACTGAGAAGAGGCAAATCTTGATATCAGTCAAAACTGCTTTGCAGTAATTTTATTTTCAGACTCACATTTAAGTTCATCCATTCAACAAGCACTACAGTAACTGTTCTATAGGTTTGAAATACATGAGTGGACAAAACAGTTCAAATCTAATTTTAACAGTTCAGCTACTAATTCTGATTAACTAGTGCTTCCATTTTATTTATCTTTTCTCTTCGTACACTGAAGAAGATAAACATCATATTCAACCTGATCTGTACCCCAAACATGGCGAGTTTTCCCAACAAACTAAGCTGTGATTCAGACAACAGTTTCAGGGTCTACAGGGACGAATCAAAGAGAAGAGTCCGCCACAGGTCCTAGAAGGGCAAGAGGCAGGTTACCATGGAAACCACGGAGTGGAACGGCTCAGAGCCAAGGTAGTGTGGGAGCTGGGGTGGGGTCGCGGTTTCTTTTATTTATTTCACTTGGAACTGTGGGGGGCCTTTGGACTCCCTCGGGCCGATTGCCCGGAAGTCCGGACCTGAAAAACCAGCGGAAAACAGGAGGCTTCAGGGCAGGTGGGGGACTATGGTGAAGAGCGGCTCGCCCGGCTCGCCAGCCCTGCGGCGGCGGGTGAGATGAGGTGGGGTGCGGTGTCGCGGGTTCCGCCTGCCGACGCATCTTTTTCGTTTCCCTTCTCTTCTGTTTTTCTCTCTTCCATTTGCTCCTCTTTTTAAAAGCCATCCTTTAATATTAAACGTTTTTTTAAAAAATTTTTATTTGGCAAACACTTGAATATAGCGCGCTTATTTCTGGGTCAGGTCTTGTGCTTTTATATTGTATCAATGGATTTAATTCTTAAAAATCCAGTGTGTGTGTTGGAGGGGTATCTGTCATTACCCTGGTTTTTACATGCGCACACTTAAACCTAGAGAAGGTAATAAACTTGCCTATGGTGAAAATGCTGGTAAACTGAGGTTAAGTAAACCTATGAGGGCTGGTGCCACCACTCTGCGTTCTTAGTCACAATACTAATCCGCCATCACCAATCCCCAAATTATTATTAGAACTGTACTTTTCTTCATTTTAGCCAATATCTTTTCCTTTTGGACTGCTCTAGTCATTTGTGTCTTTAATTATTGATGTGGTACTTTTCTTCTGATATTTTCTCAAGAAAAGATAATAATGCGAAATGCAGAGCAGAGCCTCTGAACTTTCCTGGTGTTGAAAGTCATACTGCCAATGGACACAAAATGCAGTGTAGTTCCTGCTCCCTGGTTCAAGATGTCAGCTACTCTGGAGAAACTCTTTTTTTTTTTTTTTTTAATCATGCTGTTATTGTGGGATTTTTTGTTTTTTTTTTTTTTTGGTGGTTCTGGGGATCAAACCCCAGGGCTTTGTGCATGTGTGAATGAACTATATCCCCAGCCTGAAACCATTTATTTTTTTGATCAGTGTTCACAAGGGGTTTGGCTCACTTGAGGAGCCCTTTCTTCTTGAGAAGGACCAGGATGTCTTCCCTGGAAAGACAGGATTGGATGTGGATACAGGATTCTCTTACCAAAGAGGAGGTCATAGGAATGAGAGGAGATGGAGAACAAGATCTGAATGGAGAACAGGTAAGAGGAGACAGTGTCTCTACTGACCAGGGGAGAGAAACAATCAAAGTTATGTCTTTCTTCAAGGATAAAGGAAGTAGGGGCAAAGGTTCTCTGTTGAGATTTTCCCATAACCTCTTTGTTTTGACTGTATTGATTCAACTTTCCAGTTGAATGCTTTTGTAGGAAAGAATATGAATATTCTTCTTATAAGATGAAATAAAAATTTTATTTCCCTTTTCTCTGCAGTCCATTTAATCCTATATTTCTTCCTTTTTGATAACATTTCTACATCTAGACTCTATCCAGTGCCCAGGAAGGGAAGAATGTAGCACATGAGAAGATTTTGGCATCAGCCTTGGATTCACCAGTTATCCGGCATTGGCCTGGGGTTATCCAACCTGAAAATGTCATCCCTATTTCTTGGGTTCTACAAGAAAAGACAGGTGGGGAGCTAGCAGGCATGCTTCTGTTTATGGGAGAAAGTTGTTGCAGTTCAGTGGAAATGAGCCATGGCATAGTACCAAAGGATGATATAAATAACTAACTGATTTCTAGATGTTACACATATTAGAATTTTAAAAACAAAACTAAGCAAACATTGGCCTGGAAGTGACTAAAAGCTACTCCTTAGATGTTTCTGAGGCAGTCCCACCCTGCTTTGGAGCTGGAGACTGCCCACCTTATTTCCTAAGGCAGGGAGTTGGTAATTTCGAGCCTATAGAACCAACCACTTCTTTTTGTATGGCCCCTCAATTAAGAGTGTATTTTATGTTTTTAAATGGTTGGAAAAAAGCCACCACAGAATTATAATATTTTTAAGACATTGAAAATTATGAAACTTCTAATTTTAGTATCCATACATTTTACTGGAACACAGCCGTGCTTTTTTTGTTTACATATTGCTTTAATGCTATAATAACAGAATTGAATTACATGGTGGGCTTATCTGATCAGTTTAGGCAGGGATCCTTTGCTTAGGACCCAACCTAAGTGGGTTGTTTTCCTTCTATCCTCATAGGACTTCTTATTGTCAGAATTCTTTCAGAGAATTAGACTAAGAGAAATTTTAGTTGGATAATTATTATTTTTTAGAATAGTAAATAAATGATCTACACCCAATGGTTTTTTAAAAGATAAAATAGTAACATGTGTAATAAAATTAAATGTATTACCAAACATTTGATGAAATTCAAAAGCCCCAAACCTTTGATGCAATTGAATGTGTTCTGTAGTCCATCATCTGGTGGACCTTTGGACTAATTAGGACTCACATATCCAAGAGAGGAGACACCAGCTTTCAGTTAAATAACTTTTCTTGTCTTGTACACTTGAAGCAGATGATAAACAATTTATCCATTTATTTATTCATTCACTTAATTCATATGTTCATTTGTAGAGCACTTACTGAATGTATTTGGAGTGTCAGATAGCTATATGGGCAGTAAAGATGCAAAATTGAAGGCTATTTGGTTCCTGCCCTAAAGACATTTTAGTCCTTTTGGGAAAACAGAAGAAAATTTGGGAAAAAAGAAGAAAATCTGTGACAACAGTCCACTGTGAAAGAAACATGTACAGGATGCTGTGGGACTGGGGATAGAAAGAATAGATGGTCTTTGTGGCTGAGTATGGATATAGGGTACATAAGAGAGAATGGTTCATAGCTTGGATAACTGAATAGATAGAAATGTGCTATTCACTAAGTTTGGCAACATAGATTGAGGTAATGATCAGTTTGAATCTAAAGAGGAATTTGCAAAGATGAACATGCAAAGATGTCCATGTATTCAATACCTGAGTTTTAGTTTAGGAAAGTGATTTAGATTAGAAAAATGGATTTGAGAATCATCTGCTTAAGTTGAAGCTGCTAATGTAAATGAAGTAATGTAGGGAGAAATTGTTGAGTGAGAATGGCAGAGGGGCAAGGATGGATACCTTAAATTCACTTAAGTTTAAGAGATGAGTAGAAGAAAAGCTACTGTTGAAGAAGACTAAGTAGGAAAACAGAAGTAGAAGGAACTTTAAAAAAAATTCTTGTTTAGTTGTAGATGGACACAATACCTCTATTTTATTTTTTTTTCATGTGTTGCTGAGGTTTGAATCTAGTGCCTCACACATGCTCAGCAAATGCTCTAACACTGATCCCCAGCCCCAACCCAGAAAAGTAGAAGGAACTTTATGAAACAGCAAGAAAGAAGTCAGAAGGAAAAAGGAAGAGAATGGTCCATGGTGACATATATCACAGAGGTCAAAGAAGGGTGACACTGTACTGGTGGTAGATGAGGTTCTACAAAAGTGTTTGAAGAAGGAGCCCAAAATATGATTACTGAGTTTGATGCCTTCACTTTGAGAATATTACTATTCAGACCTGAAGAGAGGCTAGATAGATGCTAAATTAGAGTTCAGGATTTGTAAAGATGTGAATTTGGAAATGAAAGTGTGGAATAATGTTAGTGTTTGAATGGGTTTCTAAGTTCCAGAGATAGGAAAATGATTGATTGTGGACCAGTGGACTAACACCTGATAGGTGCCAACTGTGTTAGTCACCTTTTTGTCACTGTGACAAAATACCTGAGAAAATAAATTTAGAAGAGAAAATATTTATCTTGGCTTACAAGATTCAGAAGTTTCAATCCATAGTCACTGGATATCATTGATTCTAGGCCTGTGGTGAGGTAGAACATCATAACAGGCAGGATATGGTAGAGCAAAACTTATTTTATGGCAGTAAGAGAGAAGGAAAGGGTGAGGGAGAAGGAAGAGGGGAAGAAGGAAGAAGAAAGAAGAGAGAGAAAAGGGCCAGGAACTTCCAGGCTGTGCCCCCACTGACCTACTTCCTCTAAATAGACTCTACCTCCTATAATTTCTACTGCTTCCCAATAGTCCATTCAATTAGGAACCCATCAGTGGATTAATCTGTTAATGAAATCAGAACCTTCATGATGCAGTCACTTTCCCAAAACCTCTGAATATTGCTGCTTGGGGGACAAGGCTTCAACACATGAACCTTGGGGGATATTCCAGATCTAAACTATAACAGTGACAATGAAGTATAAAACAACTAATAAGTGACTCTTAAGGGTTCAGAATGAGCTAGCCATACCAAAATGATGGTGAGGGAAAAAAGGAAGTTCTTCAAGAAAGCAATTGAAGTTTTAAATTCTGTAAGGCTTTTTGAATAGCGCATGATTCTATTACATACTACTTGGTATCTCTTCAAATTTTAATAGAAGAGGTTATGCCACAGTAGATGTAGAGAGGAAAGTATCCGATTAGAAAAGCAAAGGAAGGAGATTGATGCATTCTAGGATGCAGATAATTCTAGGAGTTTGGTTTATGAAGTCTGAATTTTTATAATGGACACTGTCAAAGATAACATAGCCAGATATAAGTTAAAGGGGTGAAAATGTTTTATTCAGTAATTACTGACAGTAGGGGAAAGGCTGAACTCCATTCTGACTTGGGTGTTTTAAGCATGTGTGTGGGGTGGAAAGGGGATCAGTGGAGCTAGAAAAATGAAAAACACAAAGGATTAGTCACTGTAAATAAGATTAGGACAGCTGTTTTTTCAGCTGGTACCATCAAAGTTAGAATTCTGGCCTTATAATGTAGTCTAGGAGACACAGGAAACTCATTCATTTTTTATTTTTTAATTCTTTTGTGGTGCTGGGTATTGAACCCAGAGCCTTGTGCATGCAAGGCAAGCACTCTACCAACTGACTTATATCACTAGCCCAACTTTTCCCTGTTGATGATAACATTAGGAAGGAATGGGTCTCTGGTCCTTGAGAGATACTTCTGAGTTGCAAGAGATAAAATTTTAAATCTTTTTGTGGTAAATGCCCTAAGGGATGTTGGCACCTATTACCAGGTTTTAGCTGGAATAAATAGTAAATTATCCTGGCAGTGTTGAGTTTTCTCAGGCAGGCATTTTAGTAGGGAGACAGGGTCATCATAGAGACATATCTTCTGTTGCTGGAAGCTATGCTAGAGTTTGGTCAATAATTTTATGCAGGGGTAACGACCTTAGTCCTGAGAATTCTGTAGTTCTCAGAAGCAGTCACTTGTTAAAAAAAAAGTAGTGGCCATCTGGCCAGTGAGCTCTTTGCTTGAGGGCTACTCCAGGAGAGCATACTTTTTTTCTGCTTTTTCAGAGGAGATGTACTGTGAATTGTGTGTGCGGAGGGATATAGAAAGTAGAGGGTTAGGGTATGGATAGAAGAGGAAAGGCTTGTTGCAAATGGCAAGAGGACTAGGGACAAAGCCTTAGAGGAAAATCCTTAAGCGTATATGTGAGGGTTGGTGATCATTTTAGCTTTAAATGCAGATTGAATGCTCTGATGAAAAATGGGGTAAGAAATTACCAGAGAAGCAAATTGAGTTGAGAGTATCAGTGGAGTTTTAGTTTTAGTTTTTAGAACACATTTGAATAGGGTTCCTGGATTCAAAGGAAATTTATTGGCAAGAGGGACTTTTATTGAACAATTGGTCCATATTGACTACACTGATTACTTTCGTTCCTCTCAGTGTCTTCCACCCCTGAATCTGCCTTAGATCATGAGAACTGCCAAGAAGACATAGCACAGGAAGAAGTGCCATTGGTCAGCAATCCCCAGGTGAGTTTTGGTTTCCTTTCTTCTGGAGAGTATTATTCTCTGAATAAACCAGTTATAATCTATACCTTCAATCAAAGTGGTCTTTGACCATATAGCTCTAAAATTTAGATGTTTAATCCTCACTTAAAGAAGGTTTATTTGATTATTTAAGCCTGCCTTTTGATTTTATACCAATCCCTCTACTGTTTTCTCTATTGTCTCCTGCCACTCCTTTCATAATCTTAATGAAAGTGATAGCATTTTAACAAAATCTCCTTGTTTATTTTATGAAGTCATTATGGGATTATTCCCAAGACAGCAAGTATTTGTTGTTTCAGAAGCTGGTGATGTTTGAGGACATAGCTGTGTACTTTACGCAGAAGGAATGGATGTGTTTAATTCCTGCTCAGAGGGACCTCTATAGGAATGTGATGCTGGAGAATTATCAGAATTTGCTTTCTCTAGGTAAAGAATTTTATTCACTTACTTTGGTTCTGCTTTACTTTTTCAACTCATCCAGAAAGAATTTTATTTTCTTCAGTAAAAAGTGGATAGTCGAGTTATATGTGTCTTTGCCTTTCAGGGATAGGAAACTGATTCTCTGATTTGGTTTCCTTCTGCCTTGTGATATGTTTGTATACTTTTTTGTTGTAGGGTGGTTTGTCGGGAATATTATGTATCCAGAAAAGTAACATATAAGTTATAAACGTGCAGTTTGCTGAATTTTCAGAGTAAAAACTCTCCAATATAGTCACCCAACATTAAGAAATACAACTTTGTCTGAACTTAAGAAGCATGTCCCTTTGTGTCTGCTTCAGATAGTACTTCTACTCTACCTTCCTACCTCCATTTAAGTTAACAATTTTACTGACTTCTAACATGATTGATTAATTTTGCCTGTTTTTGAATTTTAGATAAATAGAATTAAACAACATGTCATCTTTTGGGTTTTGCTTCTTACATTCAACACTATATTTGTAAGATTTATTAATTTGTTGCCAGAGATTGAGGTTACTCATTCTCATTACTTATATTATTCCATTGTGTGAAAATTTTACTGTAAAGAAAGAGACATTTGAGTTATTTTTAGATTTGATTCTTACAATGCTGCTGTGAATATGGCTTTTCTTGAAAATATACATGTATTTTTGTTGTTTATAACTAGGAATGAAATTGTAGGGTCATAACATATGCCAAACAAAGTAGTTGTACATATTTATATCCCAGCAGGAATATTAATGCTTGGTACTGTCTTTTCATTTTAGCCATATGGTGGATGTATAATGGTATTGTGTGTGTTTTATTTGCATTTCACTGAGTAATTAAGTTGATCACTTTTTATTTAGATTTGTTTTTTGAATACCTATTTTGCCACGTTTATAATTAGTTTCTGTCCTTTTTTTTTTTCTTGATTTGTAGAGTTGTTTATATGTTTTGCTCTGAGGACATTTTTAGTCCATCTATTACTTTACTCCCAGCTTTTCTATCTCCTCTGATCTTTATTGACCTCTTAACTGCCTGTAAGTTTAGGATTAGGCTTTGGAGTGGTTTTATTTTACTTTCTAGGTAATTGTATCTTGTTATCTCCTTGCAAGGAGCACTTCAATTTCCCAAACCTGTTGTGATCTCCCAGCTTGAACAAGGTCAGGAGTCGTATATTCTTGATCCACAGGGAGCTGGGTTAAGAGTGGCCCCAAGAAGCTCCTGCATAGGTATGTGAACCATAAAGAATCTGAGAGTTTCTACCTTATCTTTTCCTTTGTCTTTTTACCTAAGAACATATCATATAGCTCCTTCCCAGTTATATCTTTCATTTAAAATCTTTAGGAGGAAAAACCAAAAAACCTATACCCTGGTTTCAACCTGTATCTTTAAAAGTATGTGAATCCCTTGCATCCTGGCTGACTGTATTTTTTTACCACTTTAGATAAAACTTTATAATCTCCATTTTGTTCATACTCTTAACCTACAATTCTTAGTGTAATGGGATCTTCAATTCAGTCTTCTTTGATATTCTCCAGCTTTGCTTTCAAAAACATATTTGGCCTATTATAAATTATTTTTCTGAGTGACATCTAAGGACCACCTACATATGAAACAATGGGAATGCTTATCGACAAGATATTACCTGGGGCAAGCTAGAATCTGTACTTTTATGAGCTTCCAATATGATATGCCCATTAAAGTTTGAAAATCATTATTCTAAACTATGAGCTTCTTGGAGAGGCTGTAATCATCACCAGAATATATGCTGTATAATTCATGTTTAATAAATGTTTATTGTAGGACACAGAAGAAGCCCATAGGTATACTAGTTTCTTAATCTAGGTGTGAGGGCAATGATTAGAATTTATGGATATGATCATTGCAATGACATTGTCCATATGTTAAGGATAAACCTATTTTGGATTTTGATGAAAAGATTATTCATGGACATAAAATAGGTAAAGTTTATGGTAAAAAAAGTTAGATAAAATAGATACATGACCCAATTATCTGAAAGTTAATAAAATAGTATATATAACTATTTAGTTAATACAGGGTAGCAAAATACTTTGTAAGAGAATTAAAAAACAACTCAGTTCTGGTTTGACCAGAGTTGAATCAGAGTTAATCAGGGGAGGTTTCCTGTAGGAAGGGAGTTTAGTGATTTTCTGTAGGAGAGAAGTTTTGAATTATATTTTGAAAGAAAATACTGAAAATAATCTAGTAGCTTGAAGAGATTGTGTTCAAAGTGAGATATATAACATTAGGGTTGGTTGAACTGATTTGTTGAATTTTATTTCATCCTGAGTCCTTATGGTGGTATCATTTGAGATATAACCTATAATTTTAGCTCTACTAAGTTCAATTTGGAGGGTACTCTGAAGGTGTAAATCCCTAATTTTTATAAGCTTAGATTTTTCCATTCACCATTTTGCCTATATGTGGGTGTGTGTATGTGTATGTATATGCAGCACAGGTTGTGAATATGATGAATATGGAATATGTATCTACACACATATACATATATATTTGCTATTACTTACATGTATATGTAAATTAGAAATATATATATATACATATATATATTTATATATATATATTTTTTTCTTTTTTTGTGATAATGGGGATTGAACTCAGGTCCTTATACATGCTATGCAGGTATCTACCACTGAGCTACATCTGTAGCCCTTTTTAAACATTTTATTTTATTTTGAAATAGGTTTCACTAAGTTGCCCATACTAGTCTTGCCATCATCCTACCTCAGCTTCCTGAGTAGCTGGGATTATAGGTATATGCCACTGTGCCTGGCCTGACCCAGTATTTTTAAAAATTAATTTTGTCTCAATTCTTTCCCCATAGATTCAAACAATATTTTGGTTTGAAATTTTTTATCACAACTCATGGTACTTTTTCCACATAATCAATCTTTTATTTATTTATTTATTTATTTATTTATTTCTACAGCTACACAAGTGCGATAAACAAGTGACCTTCCCCCCCCACCCTTTCCTTTCTTTTTTAAAGATCCAGGTATTAGAACCAAGATTGGGGATGAAAAATCAGCTGAAAAACTTGAAAAACTAATGTTTGAAAATAAGGAGGCACACTGGGTCATGAAAAGTACCCAGAAGAATCAGTGTGGAAAATCCATAGGAGAAACACTGAAAAATAAGAATGAAAATTCTAGGAAGGTGAATGACAAAGCTAAGAAAATTATGATGGATGTGTCAGAACTAAAAGGTAAAGATCTAAAGGAAAGTTTGACTGAAAACTTGGAATATGTCATATGTAAGAGAGTTCCTAATGGGTGTAGTTTCTGTGAATGTAGCACAGGTTGTGAAAATAACTGTTGGCAGTCAGACCTTATTCTTCATGAGGAAATGCATGTCAAAGAGAAAGCTTGTGAATGTGATGAATGTGGAAAAGGTTTTAGGGTGTCCTCAGCTCTTACCTTACATAAAAGAATCCACAGTGGTGAGAAGCCTTACACATGTGATGACTGTGGGAAAGCCTTCAGCCAGAGCTCTGCCCTAACCCAACATAAAAGAATCCACAGTGGGGAGAGACCATATATGTGTGACCAGTGCCACAAAGCCTTCAATGGGAGCTCAGATCTTATTAAACACAAGAGAATTCACACTGGAGAGAAACCTTATGAATGTGGGGACTGTGGGAAGTCCTTTAGGAATATCTCGGCCCTCACTGAACATCACCGAATCCATACTGGAGAGAAACCTTTCGAATGTAATGAATGCTGGAAGGCCTTCAGTAGCAGGTCAGCACTTTCTCAGCATAAAGGGATTCACAATGGAGGGAAGCCCTATGAATGCAGTGACTGTGGGAAAACCTTCAAGACAAGGAATTGTCTTACCATGCATCAGAAAATTCACACTGGGGAGAAGCCTTATGAATGTAGTGAATGTGGCAAGGCCTTCCAGTTTAGGCACTGCCTTACCATGCATCAGAGGATCCACACTGGAGAGAAACCCTATGAATGTACAGAGTGTGGGAAGGCCTTTAGTGGTAGTTCAGACCTTACCAAACACAAGAGAATCCACACTGGAGAAAAGCCTTACCAGTGTGCTGAGTGTGGGAAGGCTTTCAGTTGCAGCTCTGACCTTACCAAACATAAAATAATTCACACTGGGGAGAAACCATATAGTTGTAATCAGTGTGGAAAGGCCTTTGGTGGGAAGTCAGACCTTACCAAACATAAACGAATCCACACTGGGGAGAAGCCTTATGAGTGTCAAGAGTGTGGAAAAGCCTTCAGTTATAGCTCAGGCCTTAGACACCACAAGAAAGTCCATAATGGGGAGAAACCCTTTGAATGTAATGAGTGTGGGAAGACCTTTCATCAAAGTTCAGAACTCAGTGTACACAAAAGACTCCACACGGGAGAAAAACCATATAAATGTGAAAAGTGTGGGAAAACTTTCAGGGTGAGCTCAGATCTCAATGGGCATAAAATAAGAAAGCATACTAAGGAGAAATCCCCTGAGTTTGTAGATGAAAAATCATAGAATCCAATATGCTTTCCTCAACCTTATGCACATCTACCTCCTTGCAGCAGTTGATACCAAGGAGACCTTACTTTTTGGAGATATAACCCTGATTAATATTATATCTTGCTTATTGTTATTCTCATTGCTCTTACCTTACCCTACTTTTCCCCCATAGCTTCTAATAACTAGTAATATATTTTATTTATGCTATTTATTTGTATGTATATTATCTTACTACTTTGATAGAGTATAAACTCCATGCAGGCAGGAAACCTTATCTTTTGTTAACTGATGTATTATTATTCTAAGCCACTATTATCTAAGCCTGATAAATGGCAGGAGGTTGTGGGGGTGAAGTGGAGTGGGGGAGGAGGAAAGAAACTCAATAAATAGTTTTGAATGAAATTAATTCCTTGGTTTCCATGATATGCTGTTTCTTGGTTCCCCTTTTGTGTTTCCAACTGTTTTTTCCCCTTTGTCTTTGTTGACTGCAATTGGTCCCCTCATCCATAAAATGTGGCTGTATATCATTATGCTCTGTTATTTAAGAAAAGTCTTCATTGTCTTCATTGCCTAGTTGCCTGTATATTCTCCTAACCTTCAAAACAATCTTGTTTGACAAAATATTACTCTGTTCTCACCTTTATGTCTATAATGTGTTTAATGTAAATAAACTATACACATGCTATTTCTGTATTAGATTGGGCATTTCAAGGCATTATCATGGAAGGGAAAAAATAAATGTGTTTATGCCATTCACTTATCTGAAGGTCAAGAGGTTCTTTTATCTCAAGAATGTGAGCAAAAAATATCAATACTGTATTTAAAATCTACACTAAATCCATTTTTTTAAAAAAACATGTAGGTGGTTCCCTGCGTGTACTATTGCATCCTTATAGTATGGACTCTAGACACACTTTACAGAGCAGTCAACAATATTCTTTAGAAATGCAGATTAGGTAATGTACTTAAAATTCTCCAGTGGCTTCTTGTTACTTTTTCCTCCTTTTTAAATGGAACATTTTGTCACATTTGCTAATTTCTTCCTGAACCATTTGAAAATAAGTTTAAGATATACCACCTATCCCCAAACACTTCAGTATGTCTCTCCTGAGAATAAGCATATTTTTTCAAAATTGTAATGTCACTTTTATTCCTAAAAATGATTTATAATTCTTATTGAATTATAAATTACAACAAATATCTATATTCAAATTTCCTTGTTGTCCTTAAAAGTCTTTTAAGCTGTTTTTCCCCCCATCAGAATTCAATTAGGGTATACACTTTGCAACCACTACATTTTTTTTTTTAGTTTATTTTGATCTAGAATCATGCTGTCCAATACTGCAGTCAATAGCCACATGTCTGCTGAGCACAAATGAAAATGGCTAGTCTGAATTAAAATGTGTGACAAGTGTAAAATACATAATCAGTTTTGATTTCATGTAGAAAATAAAATTCTTAATTTTAATGTTGATTAATGTTGATATAATAATTTGGATATGTGGGTTGAATAAAATATAATTAAAATCAATTTCAGCAATTTTTACTTTTGGCACTAGAAAACTTAAAATACATATATAGCTTATAGTTGTTGCTTACATGGTATTTCTATGGGATATTGTGAATCTAGAACAATGGACTCACTTTCTCTTTTATGACATTAACTTTTTGAAGAATTTAGGCAAGTTATCTTGTTAGAACATCCCATATTCTGAATTCTCACTCTTAGAATAAAAATCATGATCTATAAAGTAAAAGGCGCTGCCTGCATTGTTGTTTCTTTTCCTTGCTGCTTTTATTTTAGGGAAACTTGCCTGCAAGCAAAGCAAAAGGTACAGAGGCAAAGCAAAGCTCCTTGCCTGAGCTACTAGCTTTATTTATATTCATAGGTTATCTTAGGTCATTGGTATGGTTAGTATATATTGTTAATTGTATCACTAGGCAGGTTAGAGAGTTAGCAACATTATGCAGCTTATTCCTCAATTACATACTAAGTTGCAATGTACAAGGTTAGGAGCTCTTAAGAAAGTTCATCATTGGGGCTGGGATTGTGGCTCAACAGTAGAGGGTTCCCCTAGCACCGGCGGGACCTGGGTTCAATCCTCAGCATCACATAAAGATAAAGACAGTATGTTGTGTCCATCTACACCTAAAACATAAATATTTTTTTTAAAAGAAAGTTTATTGTATAAAGTTACTGTTAGTGGATAGGTTTAGGTGCAGTGAAACATTGTGGTTGTCTAATAAGAGAACTGAGTGTCTAGTGTCAGGGCTGATAAGACTCTAGCGTAAAGCCTCTTCATGGAGGGCATTACCATAGCAGTTAGGCATTGCACATGTATTAGTTATCTTACTAGTTCCTGGGAGAAACTGCAGAATATTCCAAGTATGGAAAACAAAATGCTTGTTATCCTTCGGATTTTGCTCACCAGAGGAAATTCACTGTCTTATACATTGAATCCTTACACTTGCCTATGATTTTTCACATAATCCACACTAACTTTTTTGCTGTTCAGCAAACAAAACACATTACCATTTTTACAATTTCCTAAGAATTTTTCTCCTCATGATTTTTACAAGACTAGTTCCCTTAGGTCTCTGCTCACATATGATACTTAGAGACACTATCCTGGCCATCTATAAATTAGCACTTTTCATCATTCTCTTTACCTTTCTTTATCTTTCTTAGTAACATTTATGACTACCTACATTTTATTGTATATTTGCTTATTGCCTGAGTTATGGATTTAATTATACCTGCCCCCTACTTATACATTGAAGTTATAAAAGTGCCAGTATCTCAGAATGTTACCATGTTTGAAAAAAAGAGTAATTGCTCTTGCAGTCATGATGAGTCACTAGAGTAGGCCCCAATCCAGTATGACTGGCATATTTGTAAGAAGGGGAGATCTGTATATAGACAAAGGGAGAGCACCGGTGAAGATGACGGCGGAGTCTGGGGTAATAATACAAATCAGATTATTTCAGTGATTGCTAGCAAACCTCCAGGAAAGAGGATTGGACTAAAATTTCCCTGATAGCCCCAGAAGGAACCAGTTTACTAAAACCTTTATTTCTAATTTCCAGAATTGTGAGAAAAGAAATTTCTGTTTTTTAAGCTGTCGAATTTGTGGTACCTTATTACAGCAGACCTACAACAATAATCCATACTTCTGCATAATATATATTTTCTACTATGTGTCTTAAAGTTGGGAAGATTTTTAATTTTTTCAGCCAAGAAAGGCTAGCTATTACTAGCATTGAACCCTTGATAAGATCTCTTTGAGAATAATAACCATTCATTTGGTGGCAGGTTAATCACTTGGGACCTTCTCTACCTTTCAGTGGGCAGAGACTCATCCTTACAGAGATTTATATGTATTCCACTATGGTTTTGTCTTCCCTGTTGCTAGTAGCTCAGCTAATATCATCACTAAAGAACTTAGAGTTTCTGATATATTGAAATGGTATCTTGACTTAACATCTTAGCCCTAAAGGATTTGTTCTTGCCATATTACATATTATATATGGCCAGTCTGTTTCCCCATAACTTTGCCAACAAAATAATTAGCAAAACTTGTAAATTATATGATGCTATATTTTAGGAGGAGTACACAGGTGACTGAAATTGGAACTAGGTGGGAAAGCAACTGGAGTAGTGGAGACCTGCTAGCTCTTTGGAAACAAAGGTACACATGAGTTATAAGGGTGCAGGCTAGAGTAACTGTTGATATGACTGTAATTCATTGAGGGTGAGGTTTTGGTACTTTTTTTTTTTTAATTGCCAAAGGATACAGAATTGACTAAATCTATCCCTGTCAATCACTCTGACATTCTGCTTTATATGACATTTGTAAGGAAATTAAAAGGAACAGTAGCCAAAAAGACTTATTATAATGGTTAGCATTTATTGAACACTTAGTATCCTAAATATTTCATTTGTTATATTTTGTTTAATCCTCTGTGGGGCAATGAACAGAATATTAAAATATGATCTTGGGATCTCACTCTAGATTGCCTAGGAAGTGAGCTAGTGCACCTAACCTCAGCTTCCCATAGACCAGCACCTTACACTTCCTAATAGGAGGGGCTGAAATTCCCTACCAGATAGATAGTCCCCAGGTGGTAAGTAGATATCTTCAGATGCTTCCTTCTCTTTGCTAATGTCTAAACCCAGACAGCCAGGCAATCATGTAGTTTGCTTATTATTTTACAGCAAATTGGTATTCAAGGCTGTCCTTTGAGAAGGCAGAACAGTTGGGTCAGAACTAGAACACCAATCTACTTCATGTCATATGCATGGCCTTGGTTCATCTCTGTGGGATTATGAGAGGACTCCACTGGCTTTTGTGCCTGACTCTTGGTTTTAAGTTTCCTCAGTAAATTTTATTTCTTGGTTTGTACTATATGATATTGTAGGTTTTATCCCAAAACCCCTTGTATCACATCCTTGCAATAAATTTATGAGTTAGAGATTACCATTTATGTTTTCAAGGCGAGGAATATGAAGCATAGATAAGGTCACATAGCTAGTAAGTGGTAGGATTTGAAATTGGGTTGTTTGATTTTTGAGCCAATGATGTTAAAAACTTTGTTGAATAAAAGGGAACTGTCAATTTATAAAGAACTGAATGAGCACTCCACTATTCAAAGAAGCATCAATGGAGAAGGTCAGTTCTCATGCAGAGGTTCCAAGTCTGAGTTGGAGCATGTAACCTGGCTTTTTCTTCGGTGGTGACTTTTGAAGTTTAGGCTCATGTCATCTCTGGCCAGCTCATGGAAAAAATAATTTGGGAAAAAGTGACAAGTAAGATAACTGGTCTACTGAGAAGCCTGTCTCAGTGCCTTGGCTCAGAGAAGAGGAAAACCAAGACAAAGCATGGAAGATGGGTTTGTGTCTTTTAAAGTATGAAAACACTTTCCATAGTAATCAAGACTTTGTTGATGTCCTGGAATTTGACCAACCAGATTAATAGTACCAGTAGCTAAGAAAGGGTCAAGTTGAAGCAGTTCTGGTCAGATGGGGTTGAGTATTTCCTTCCCCTTATAGTCCATTGGATTGTTTTTTAAAAGAATATACTCAGGCTTGCCTTAAGATTAGTTCTAATTGTCTCACTAATTTTTCTATGTCAATTAGCAACAGCTGAAAGGACAGAAAGATCATGTACCTTTGATTAATTTCTAGAAAAATCTGGTTCAGGGCCAGAATTAGGAGGATATATCTCAGGAGGTTATAACCCAACAGATTGCCAATAGGACTTGGGAATTAAAACAGTTTCCAAGATTGTTTTACAGAGAACTGTCAGATGTGTACTTGTTGGCATTCCAATAGAATATTTATTCTACTGTCCAAATTCTCATTAACTCATCCTGTAATTAGAAAGAAGGCAAAAATGTTTTGATGAACCAAATAACACTATATAATTTTTACTGACATGACATGCAAATGCTTGTTTTTCAGATTCCTTTATTATCACTTCAGAGATTTTTAAAATTAAGCTTCCTTGTGTGCTTTCCCAGTCACAGAACCGAGTCATTGGTATCCAAAGCTAAACCTTGTCCAGATGCTAATGCTTTTGTGCCACAGTCCGGCTGGCTGGGCAGAATAACTGGGGGTGATGAACAACTTGTGTACGTTGATACAGCAGGAGTGGAAGCCGTTTATTGTAGGACAACAGAGGTATTTATACATTCCACACAGCTTATCTTAATTAACATAAACTAAATACAGCAGTCAACCAATAAGAAATCTCCACAATT